CTCAGCTCAGCGTCCAGTAAGAATTCCGGCGATTCTCGACTTCAATTGAAAGATATTAGCTCGCCAGTAGGTGACCGTTGTGTGTTAGGCGTGCGTTTGAGTTTGTCTCCGGCTGCTGAGAGCAGCGATGGAATGGTTAGTTAGTCAGGAGGGGATCGTTCGGGCAACATTCAGCCCAGCCAGTGTCACGCATGGCAAAATACACGGTTAAAATACACATGTTCACCCTATTGAGACCAGTTGTTATGGTGGAAACTTTGGCCGCTTTGCGGGACGGGAAAATATCATCAGATCGGAATGAAATTTTGCACAGAACCTTGTACCATAGTATCGACAAGAATTCCGACCCGGCCCGACGAATCCGACAAACTTTTTTTTTTGCCATGAAAATGTGGACCACCCTAGTGCGCATGCATGCACATGCATGCATCTTTTTCTGGACAGCGGGTCAGAGGTAAGGGTGCGTCGTTCGGTAACCCGAAGGTCCACTTTTCGATTCCCGCTCTGTTCAAGACATGGGTCATTGTGTCCTTAGGCGAGACACTTCACCCACCTTTCCTCCAGTGCCACTTATACCGGTGTACGTTTGGTGAGAATGTTTGGTGATGGTCAAAAGTGCACAGTGGCAGTTACGCTTCCATCAGCCTGCCCCTGGGCAGCTGTGGCTACATAGTTTACTGCCACCAGAGTGTGAATGGGGGAGTGCATGAATAATGTATCCATTGTGAGGGCGTTGTGAACTGGTCGTCAGACCATCGCAGGGCACACATAGACGAATAACCATTTACACTCACAATCACACCGATGGACAATTTATTGTGTTCAATTAACGTACCATGCGTGTTGCTGGAATGTGGGAAGAAATCAGAGTACCCGGAGCAAACCCACGCAGGCACAGAGAGAACATGCAAACTGTTGGAATAAATGTAATTCTGTTATCCCATATTTACTCTCTGTGTAACTTTAAAACCTGTTTCAGAGTGATACCTCGCAAATACCTCATATACAATGGGGTAGGTTGATAATGGTAGACTTGTTGGACCGGGAGAGCTCAGACTGCTCCTGTTCTAGCTTTTAAGACAATATCTTGTTGTTAAGTGAACGGCTTCTGGTCAAATTAACTGTTGGTTGTGAGAAGACAACATCAACCCAGGACACCATGAGAGGGACATCCCAAGATGTCTACGTGGACCATCGACATCCAGTAGGAGCCGTTTGACGACATCTCAGAAATGAACTGTGTGTTCTCATTGAAACTCTCCTTCACTGAAACTGTTGTGGAATGTGAAAATACTCCCTACTCCCGTTAGAAGATTGTGTATCAGGGACATCCTTCCAATAAATGCAAGGAGACAAACGCGCGCTCTTCAGAGTTGCCCCGGAACCTGTAACGGTTTACATTGCAGAGCCAGCTGGAGAGCTGCTTTGAGATTGTGAACCGAGACATGTTTTAGCGCGCTCTCTCTTGCAAGAAAGACAACCATGCCTGCCTCCTGAGTCTTCCTGTTCCTGATGTGTTCTTAGCATCTGATTACCAGCATTAACCTAACACAAACTCCACACAGGAAGGCCACAGCCTAGTTTACCCAAACCAGTGACCCACCAGACCACCTGAAAATGTTCAATCTACGTAGTAACAAATCAAGTGACTACTTGGTAAACCTATCACATAAGATGGAAAAGGTACTTAAAATATACCGTAAATAAAGGACAGGCAATATCAGACAAAAACCATTGGACATTTGAAAAGTAATCTCTTCCCTCAAACCATTAATCCCACCAAACAGACATAGAATTTACTCACCAAGGAACAAGTAAAACCTTGAGACAGCATAGCAGCCTATCATCACCAGGACCCCATGTTGAATTCCATAAGCATCTTTTGGATAGTTTTTCGCCGCTATTCTTAAAAATTATGACATAAACGAATGCGATGTCCACTATAAAATACCGCAGCCATGACAATTGTATTCAAATCAAATAAAAGATGCAGCACACCTTAGTTGCTTCTGTCCAATCTCACTAATGAATTCCAAAATAAAAATCACAACCAAAACACTAAAAAACAAACATACAAAACAATGAGCAAGCAATTCAGTATGAACTTTTTTTTCTGATATTTTGCGTTTTTTTTAAATCGTTCACAAACGGAAACTCATACGACATTTATTCAAACCCTTTCTACAGTGAAACATGCTTTGTTGCTCAGATTACCGAAAACAAAGCCATTTGACAAAACTATGCGTACAAGAAACTAAATCCCCTCTTTTTAATTGAAATTTATTTTACACCTAACTGATTTTCTAAATTTCCACCACTCACTCTCCCCCTGAAAAAAATGTTGCTAGCTTGAATGAGAATTGGTGTTGAAAGACAAATATAAATAAATGGTGCTTTTTTTGGAAACTGGTGTAAGTGTTGTCTGAAGTTTGATTACAACAGTACAATAGTGAATTCAGAGTGGCATACTGTGTGTGTGCAAATGTGAGAGTGTGTGAGTGTGCACGTGGTAGTGCACGTGTGTGCGTGCGCGCATGTGTCACTGCAGATGGCGTCCCATCACCTCAGGGAAGGCACAGATAAGCAGAGTGTATTTGATGAGATAAGATGGTAATAGACACTGGGGAAACTGACTGACTCTAAGTGAGTCACTAAGGGGAGAATTGTAGCTTTACGGCCTTGATGGGTCTAACAAATCCCAAAGAAAAAAAAATCTCTCTCTCTCTCTCTCTCTCTCTCTCT